TTTTTTTTTCTCTTTGCTAAACAATAAGTGGATATATATGAAACCGCATATTTGACTTTGGTACTATCAAATGTCCGTGGCTTGTTGGTTGTTGAAAATCTTTTATTATTTTTGTTAAATATTGAACATGGTTAGACTTTGGTGCTCTTTTTCATTTCTGTGGTATGGTTAGTGGTTTATAGTTGATGGTTTATTAGATAAGACGTTATCTAAACACTATTATCTTAAATAAATCATGTATTCTCGTGAGTGTTACATAAAACTGAGATCGATAGTAGGCCTAATCAATAGCCAACACAAGATAAGGTATTTAATTGGTCCAACAATTCAATTCAATTATAAGTTATAACATAAATGAAATCTAAGTGTGGTTGGTTTAAACAATTTAATTTTTTTGTCTTGGTACTGTTCAATGTGGTATCACAACTAATTTCTATATTTCATTAGGTTTTAAATGGTTATAGTAAATGGAGAGGTTTAAGACCATTTATATTCATTTTTTTTAGTTGTTATCATTGTTTTGCTTGATCTATAACGGTTTTACAAAGAAGAAAAATTTAGTCTGCACCAGATTATTATTCAATTTAAAAATAAATTTGTCGAGTTTATAGATGAATTCGTTCTGTCCATTGCAATTATTCAAAAAATGATTACCCTGAATTAGCAAAAACAAAAAACAAAAACAACTACCAATAGGGCTAACTCAAACAATACTATGGATGATTCAAAGTTTAACTTTTTTTTTTTTCTCAAAAATTGAATTGTTGGAATTGTTTATTGTTTTAACAAGCTAATTTTGAATTCTTAAAGGGAGACAAAACAAAACAAAAATTAATTCCGTTACACAAGTTAAGCATATCTTCTACGACGGTCTACTAACGGACTTATAATATATCATGAATAAAAAAAAAATTGAATGTGAAAATAGAGCAAGACTAGTCTACGTGAAAATAAATAGCAATAATTGTCATTTTCGGAATTAGATGCGTCTCAAGTCTTCACCACATCTACAACGTGAATTCAGGTCGAAAAAAGAAACCCAAAGACATCATTTTCTTCAATTCTTTAGATTGTTTCTGTTTGCAAGTTATGAAAATTAAATATTTTAGTTAAAACTCAATTAATACTCAATCATTTTAAATATGATT